CATCTTTGGTAATTTTCTTCATATCCTTTCTCCATTTTTCTATGTGCTATTTTTCTTCAATAATATAAACAAAAATACTATATATTATACCATAAACTGTAGAAATTGTTCACATATACTAACAACAAGAGAAAGGCAGATATCCTTATCTCTATCACATTCAACTGAACTCTGACTTGTTCAACTCTTGCTCCAGACCATTTAGAAACCAATTCAGACTGCTTGACTGCTCACATGATTTGGGGTAATGGGAGTCACCAACTTTTCCTTCAGGTAAAATGGACGTGAAACAAACCTTGCCCTCTGTGCTTTCTAAGGACTTCCTGGCTTTACCATTTGCCCCACTTGTATGCCTTACAGTATCCCAATATCATCTGACCTTCTGGTTTTTTTTTTTGCCTTTTTTTTTTTTGGCTAGGCAATGGGGTTAAGTGACTTGCCCAGGGTCACACAGTTAGTGAGTGGTATGTGTCTGAGGCTGGATTTGAACTCAGGTCCTCTTGACTCCAGGGCCAGTGCTCTATCCACTGTGCCACCTAGCTGCCCTTTTCATCTGACCTTCTGACAATCTAAAGATGCCTTCCTGGGCCATTCAATCTGCCCCGCTGGTGCATTCTTATGACTTTTAGGACTTAGAACTTTTAAAAGTGTTTTCATTTACCAAGCAACTGAACTGTCACCTGCCCCCCCGCCCCAGTGTGAACTTGACCATAAAGTGTCTTTCTGTAGTTGTCATCCATCCCTAATACTAAGTATAGCATTTGGAACTTAGTAGGAATAGGAATTCAATAAATGTTTTTTCACTTGAAAAAAAATAGAGACAAAGACAGGAAGCTGTGTCTCTTTGAGAGAGAAGAGAGCGAGAGTGAAGCAAAGAAGGAATTATCAGTTTTGTTCTCAGCATTGGGAATGATTTCAGCCTTTCTACATTTGTTCCATGTTGTTCCTGCATTGCCCAGTTACGATTATTGTCCTCATCTTAGTAGCTTTCACTCCCCTGCCAATTTACTCTCCTGGCAGTGGTAGTGGCTGCAGCTGGCAGCTGCTGTGGCAGGAAAGTCCCAGCATTGCTGCTGCTGGGTGCATCCCCCTCTTCCCTCGTGCCTGGGATTCAGATCCTTTTATTCTCAATAGCCTGTGTTCCAGTTTATGGTGGAGTGGTAGTTATGATTATCTTTAGGTTCCCAGCACAGTTGCTAAGCTGCTATGCCACCTGTTTGCCAGGCCCCTTGCCAGCTTTCCCTGCATGAAAGTAAAAAATACTCAGGTCCACATTCTTTTTTTTTCTTTTTTTTACCTTTCTAAATTTATTTATTTTTAGTTTTCAACATTCACTTCCACAAGATTTTGAGTTCCAAATTTTCTTCCCATCTCATCCCTCCCCCACCCCAAGATGGCATGCATTCTGTACACCTCTTCCTTTAATCTGCCCTCCCTTCTATCTCTCCCCAGCTTCTCTTATCCCCTTCTCCTTCTATTTTCCTGTAGGGCAGGATAGATTTCTATACCCCATTTCCTGTATTTCTTATTTCTCAGCTGCATGTGAAAACAATTTTTTAACATGTGTTTTTAAAACTTTGGGTCACAAATTTTCTCCCTTCCTCCCTCCCCACCCACCCTCATTGAAAAGGCAAGCAATTCGATACAGGTTATACATGTGTAGTCATGGAAAACACTTCCATAGTAGTCATGTTGTGAAAAACTAAGTATATTTCCCTTCAGCCTATCCTGCCTCCCCATTTTTCTATTCTTTCTTTTGACCCTGTCCCTCCTCAGAAGTGTTTGCTTCTGATTAACCCTTCCCCCAGTCTGCCCTACCTTCTAACATCACTCTGCTCTCTTGTCCCTTTACCCCCCTATTTTCCTGTAGGGTAAGATAGATTTCCATACCCAATTGAATGTGTATGTTATTCCCTCCTTAAGCCAAATTCTATGAGAATAAGATTCACTCATTCCCTCTCACCTTTCCCCGTTTCTTCTCCACTGTAAAAACCTTTTCTTGTCTGTTTCATGTGAGATAATTTACCCCATTCTACCTCTCCCTTTCTCCTTCTCTCAGTATAATCCTCTTTCACCCCTCAATTTTATTCTCCAGATATCACCCCTTCATCTTCAACTCACCCTGTGCCCTCTATCTATCTATCTATCCATCTATCTATCTATATACATACATACATATAATTTTTTCCCTCCAACTACTCTAATACTGACAAAAGTCTCATGAGTTACAAATATCATCTTTCCATGCAGGAATGTAAACAGTTTAACCTTATTAAGTTTCTTATGATTTCTCTTTCCTGTTTACCTCTTCATGTTCCACTTGAGTCTTGTATTTGAAAGTCAAATTTTCTATTCAGCTCTGGTCTTTTCATCAAGAATGCCTGAAAGTCCTCTATTTCACTGAATGACCATTTTTTCCCCTGAAGGATTATATTCAGTTTTTCTGGGTAGGTGATTCTTGGTTGTAATCCTATCTCTTTTGCCCTCTGTAATATAATATTCCATGCCCTGCAGTCCCTTAATGTAGAAGCTGCTAAATCTTGTGTTATCCTGATTGTGTTTCCATAATACTTGAATTGTTTCTTTCTGGCTGCTTGTAATATTTTCTCCTTGACCTGGGAACTCTGGAATTTGGCTATAATATTCCTAGGAGTTTTTCTTTGAGGATCTCTTTCAGGAGGAGATCAGTGGATTCTTTCAATTTCTATTTTGCCCTCTGGTTCTAAAATATCAGGGCAGTTTTCCTGGATAATTTCTTTTCCTTCAGTATTTTTTTGGGTCTCCTTTAGAAAGCTGTTCACTTGTTTTTCATGATTTTCTTGCATCACTCTCATTTCTCTTCCCAGTTTTTTCTCTACTTCTCTTACTTGCTTTTCAAAATCATTTTTGAGCTCTGCCAAGGCCTGGGACTGATTCATATTTTTCTTGGAGGTTTTGGATGTAGGAGCTTTGACTTTGTTGTCTTCTTCTGGTTGTATGTTTTGATCTTCTTTGTCACCGAAGTAAGATAATATAGTCTGACTCTTTTTGTGCTGCTTACTCATGATCCCTGCCAATTACTTGAGTTTTAAACTCTTTGTTAAGGTAAGAGTCTGCTTCCTATGTGGAGAATGTACTGTCCCAAGCTTTGGGGGTTTGTACAGCTGTTTTCAGAGATACTTCTAGGGATCTGTAAATTTTCATTTCTTCCAAGGTGGTATGATAAGGGGCTAGGTGTTTCCTCTCCACCACCACAACAAGCTCCACCATGCTAGTGCTGCTCCTCGCCCCAGGACCGCCCCTTAGAACTGTGACCCAGATCCAAGCACTGGTAAAGCAAGAGATTCCTGCCTCAGCACTGCCAAAGAGATCCCTGCAATCCCCCTCTGATCAGCCACTTGATTTCCCATCAGTCTGTGGGCCAGAAGCTCAGGAGGCAGCCGCCAGAGCTGAGACCTAGCATCTCTCTCACCATAGTCAGACTTTTCCCACTGACCTTCTAAGTTGTCTTTGGCATTCGGGGGTGGAAAGGCTGGAAACTGCCACAGCTGCCCGCGATTCAGCCCTTTTAGGCCTGCTCCAGGTTCGCTATGGCCTGCGCGCCCACGCTGAACTGCACTCCTCTCCCCGCCTGGCACAATATACCTTTCCAATCAACCATCCAGGCTGTCATTGGCTGGAATTTTGCTTCACTCTGTCTTTTTGTGGGTTCTGCTGCTTTAGAATTTGTTTAGAGACATTTTTTACAGGTATTTGGAGGGGTGTGGGGGGAGAGCTCAAGCAAGTCATTGCTTTCACTCCGCCATCTTGGCTCTAGAAGCCGGAGTCTCAGGTCCATATGCTTAAAAGCAATATGGAGTTGTGGCTTCCTTCCTTTACATCAAGACAGGAAAGCTTACTTGTCAATCAAATTCTGGCTGCTTTAGTCTATGTGAGTGTTAGTGGCCTAAAGGCTGAGGGGAGGAAGACTAGGTGATTTCCATCTTGACCAGCAGGCATGCATTCTGAGAATCCACATCTCCTTAACATCCTGCCAAGGCATGTACTTTAGACTCACTGGTTAACACTGGGTGTGTATTTGTCTCTTTCTGGACCTCCATTTCTCCACAGAATTGAGATCTACCCCCCATCTCTTATTTTTTCGGTGGAGTTGGGGTGACAGAGATGAGACTGAGGTGTGTCCTGACTCAGATCTCTGTACCTCCCTTGCAGGGAACTCAGGGAGTAGAAGAAGCTGGGTAGCTACTGTTTACTCCTCCTTAGGAAGGTCAGGGTCTGAGGGAAAAGCTCCCTTCTCACTTTCTTCTTTCTTCTAGATTACAGCCTGATCTTTCTCCTGCTCCCCACTCTGGGAATCAGGCTCCTCATGGGCTTTAGCTCAGGAATAGTAAGCCAGGGAACCACATGGGAATGGCTGCTAGCAGCTGTTACCTCTAATAGGGGCTCTGGGAGGGACACCCCTGGGTGATTGGGATCATATCTGAAGGTTAAAGTTTCCCCCATTCTTTCTCTTTTTCTTTTGTGTTTCACTCTGCCTCAAAGTGTTCTTCTGCTTCTCTTTTGCTCTCTCTCCTCCACTCTCATCATTCTCTTTCTTCTCTCTCTCCCCTTTTCCCTTCCCTCTGTCTTTCTCCCCGCTACCACCCCCATAATATTTCTCTGTCTGCCTATTATCTATTCACATCTTCAATTACCTTTAATACTCAAAGACTGAGGTTTCTGCCCATAGAACTGAGAGCTTTGTGAGGTGGAATATGACAGTGGGTTATATACAGCAACCTGCTTCCAGGCTAGATCCCATTTTACTTCTGAGAAGTTAAAAAGAGCATTTATGTTATAGTTTTCTCAGAAAGAACATTCTAATATCCCACTGCTCATCCATCACAATCTCCATACTTGGGAAGTTCTTGTCTTCTCTAACCTGGATCTCTTTTACTCCAGCAGTTTGTCTACTTCTTTCCCTTCTTTGGGACCATTAACTCCTCTCCTTTGGTCCTGTCCCCAGATGCAGATTTAGGGACATGGATGATGTTAATGGGACAGCAGTGACTGAGTTTATTTTGTTGGGATTCTCATATTTGGGGGCATACCAGAGTGCCCTCTTTTGGGGAGTGCTCTTTGTGTACTTGGTCACCTTGCTGGGCAACTCCCTGATCATCACCCTTACCCTGCTGGACCCAGCCCTGACCACTCCCATGTACTTCTTCCTTCGACATCTCTCTTTGATAGAGATTCTCTATACTACGACTATTGTGCCTAGGATGTTGACTGACCTCCTGTCCTCACATCCTGCCATCTCTCCTGCCAGCTGCTTCACCCAGATGTATTTCTTTGCCCTCTTTGGTGTTGCTGAATGCTGCCTACTTACTGCCATGGCCTATGATCGTTATGCTGCCATTTGTCAGCCCCTGCATTATGCCATGCTGATGAAGCAGCAGGTGTGTGTGGGGATGGTGGGTGCTTCCTATCTAATGGGCATCATCACAGGCACCACCCACTCCATCTTCATCTTTACCTTGCCTTTCCATGGCACTAACATTGTTCATCACTTCCTATGTGACGTGTTACCTGTTTTGAGACTGACAAGTGGAGACACACACTGGGGTGAGGTTGGGGTTCTTGCTGTGACCCTGCTGTTTATCATGACTCCCTTTGCACTGATTCTGTTTTCCTATGTTCGCATCCTCATTACCATCCTTGGGGTAGCTTCTGCTCAGGGCCGCCAAAAAGTGTTCTCTACTTGCTCTTCCCACCTACTGGTTGTCACACTCTTCTTTGGGACTGCAACTCTTGCCTACATGAAACCTGGAGCCAATGCTACTCAGGACACAGACCAAATCCTCTCCTTTTTCTACACAGTTGTCACTCCTATGCTCAACCCTTTTATCTATACTTTGAGGAACAAGGAGGTGATGGGAGCCCTGAGGCGCAAGATAACAAAACAGCTTTGAAGTCCTTGCCTGGTCCAGTGGTTTGCTTGGCTTCCTTTCTGGTGAGTTGAGACATGCTTCACGACCTTTTTTTCCCCTTTTATTATATTTTTCAACTATCAAACATTTATTTGTTCTTCCACCCTCTCTGCCCTCAACTAAAAGAAAAACAAATTCCTTGTTGCAATCTAGTCAAGGAAAATAAATTCCTAACTCAATTTTGTCCAATAGTGTGCTCATTCTGTATGTTTAGTGTTCTTCTCCATTGTGACCTGATCTTTGTTGTAGGAGGCAGGGCCTGAACCCCTGGATCTTTAGCATAGTAGGGGAATTCCTGGAGGATTATGGTTAAGATGGGCCTGGTTTTCCAGAAGGACATCCTTCCTTTTCCGAAGGTCCCAGGAATCTCTGTCAGTTTTCATCTAAGATCCTGATGTGGAAGCTATTTTCAGGTTTGTGCTCCAAGTACAGGCTGGATGAGCACTTTCGGAGGGATATTCAGGTATGGGTTGGACTAGATGGACTTGCTAGCTAAAGGGCATAAACATGTACATTGAAGTCTCCAAGTAGAAGAGCAGTGGTTGGGGTGGAGAAGGAGGCTGTGAGCTGCACATTGACCTCCTTAAGGTTACCTTTAGCACTGATTCTGTGATTTGGATTTTGTGATGTTATTTGGGGGTACTGAGTATATGTGTATGCTGTATCTAGTGCTGCAGTTTGAGAGGGATTCTTATGGATTAAGGGACACAGAAGTGAATGATTTAGTGTGATTATGATATACCAGCTCTGACACACCTCAGACACCACTAGCTGAGGGCTTGGGACCCCTTGTATACTACAGACTTGAAATGGAGCCCTCCCTTTCTCTGTGGTAAGGCATTCCTTTGACTATGTTCAGTGCCAGTAACTACTTTGGTGTTGAGAACTATCAAAGAGTAAGCTCTATAAAAGCCTACCAGTGGCAGGGAGTATTCAGATCAGTTTAACAAGCATTTATTAAGTGCCTACTATGTGCATGCCATTGTGCAAGGTGCTGAGGACACAAAGACACAAATGTAACAAGTTTTCCTTTAAGGAACTTAGATTTTACCGGAGGAGATGCAGAGTTTGGCTTGATCTAAATTAAAAGGGAAGTCTTTTTTAGATCACCCTTGTTTATAGCTGCTTCTGTCTACCTGCTGTGATCTCTATCATCACTATGACATCAATGTTCCTTGCCTAGAGCAGTCCTTTTGGAATCATTAACTCCATGAGGTTCTGAGTTCTACTCTGATCTTGAATGGAATTACAGCCTGTGTCTAGCTCCCTTGGTTCTGCAATCAGCAGATCTGACGTAGACTCTATATCTAACTCACTTTGCCCTACCTAAATATTCCACTCTATTGAGATTGTGGTGGTAGTTATTTACTGACCCCTCAGATCATTTGTCAGCCTCACAGACTTCATTTCTTTTTGGAAGCAATTGGTGTTTAGTTCCCAGAAGGGGCAGGTGGTGCAGTGGGCCACACGGTTAAGTGTCTGAGGTCACATTTGATCTCAGGTCCTCCTGACTCCAGGGCCAGTGCACCACCTAGCTGCCCCTTCTGGGGACTTCAATATGCCTGTTTATATCCCTCAAACGTCTGACTTCCCATTTCATTGACTCCCCAAGTAAAATGACCTGACCTTCTTTCCTTATCTCTGTCACACACACACACAGAAGGCAGTCACTTGGCTTTGATATCATCATTCATGAGTTCTACCTGTACAATCCAGAAAGCTAAAATTCTCCTACGTGCCATTAACCTTTTACATTTGCATCTCTCCCTGTCTCACACCCCTCTCAACTCTATTCTGTTTTCAGGGCAGTTCTCAAGTTATTTCAACCTTCATGCTTTCCTAGTCCATCACCAGTGGCCTGGTTTTGTACTCTCCCTTCACAGACATGAAGCTCTAGTTAAGTTGTTCAATTTTATGCTCTCCTCTACCCTTAAATCTCTTCCACCCCTATCCTATTGACACTTATGCCATTCTAATCCCCGGGTTTGGATTTCCCCCACCATCTACCTCCACTCCTTTTTACATACTGCTGATGAAATCACAGAACCTTGCTGAATGAGTGGCAGCTACAAATGTGGCAGCTAGATGGAACAGTGGATAGAACACTGGGCCTGGGGTCAGCAAGATCTGAATTCAAATGTGACCTCAGACACTTACTAGGGGATGACCCAGACCAGTCACTTCACTTCTCTCAGTTTCAGTTTCCTCGTGTGTAAAATGGGGATTACATTAGCGTCTACTTCTCAGGGTTGTTGAGATAATAATTGTAAAGTGATTAGCACAGTTCCTGGCATGCAATAAGCACTATATAAATGTTTATTATCATTATTATATCCTGGCTGGGTCCTATGGCTGCCTGGTTATCTTTCTACTCTTCCCCCAATTAATTCCTTGGTGCACTTTTTATTCCAAGCCTTTTCTTATTTCTTCAAGTCACCGATGTCACCCTCCCTCTCCTTCTAAACAAAAGATTTCGTTTCATATTTACCAATAAAATAGAGGTTATTATCATGAGCTCCCTTTCCTCGTCAATTCTACATCTGAAATACCCTTGACAACATCTTTCATTCTTCAGTTCTCTGCTGCAGTCTCAGAAGCAAAGGTGATTTTTTTTGCTAAGGCTAACTCCTCTCCTTGTGCCCTTGATCATATCCCCTCCAAAATCAAATGGGAGCTTGCACTTTTTAATCTTTAAACTTCATTTTCTTTTTATCTAGTTTCCTTCCTAGCTGCATTCAAAGATGCTTAGAACTCCTCCACCTTTAAAAAACATTCACTTGATTGTGGCATCTTTTCAAGCTACATACTATGTCTCTTCTGCCTTAGATGAACTCCTAGAAAACACTGTTTTTACTTGTTGCCTTTACTTCCTCACAGCCTCAATTTTTTTTAAGTAAACTTTTATTTTTGTGATTTTACATTGCACCTTGTGCTTGACAAAAAAAAAAAAAATCTCTGCAAAAAACCCCTCCCCACTTTTCAGCCCCTGAACTGATATCAATAGCGTCTGTTCATTTTCCTAAACTTCTCATAATGATAATCATCAGTTGCCTTTTCGTTGGAGGGGCGCTTTCGATTTGGAGGAGACCTTTCGGCTTCTGGCTTCTCGGTATCTCCCACCCGGAGGGGTCGAGTTTTTGGCTCCTCCTTGTGTCTCCGAATTGGGGCGTGGAGCTCTTCATGATAAAATCGGTTGTGCTGCACGTAGTTCACAGCCATGTTAGTGGGAACAAAAGAGGTTTCGCTGTCTTTCTTTTTGTTCTGTTGCTCGGCCAGCAGACGTGCCTTGGCATCCTCTGTCGAAATGATATTTTTTATTTTTGCATCAATGCCTAAATCCACCTCCGGGATGCCGCTCAGCATCTGGTTGGACAGCATCTCTTCCGTTTTCTTGGCTGAGGAGACTCGGATGCTCTCGGGAAGCTCATAGAGACAGTCTTCGGCATTCTTCAACTTTACCTTCTGCTCCTCATTTTCCACAATTCCTTTCCTCTTCTTTAACTCAGTCTCAATGTACTTCATCATGTCAGCATCTTCATCCCTTCGGTTGGTTTCTGCTGAAAATGATGTTCCCAAGTTGAGGCCCTCCTCTTCATTGATTCTGTCCTTGCTTCTCTCCTTAAGTTTTTTCATGTCCACCATTCCACCCGTGTTGACCTTAAAGGGATCATCCACTAGAGTTGTCTTTTCCTGGACTTTCTCCCCAACCAGGAGGGCTACAGCACTCACCCCGTTAGGCCGTCTCCTCAAGCTCTGAACCTCTTTGGTTTCCTCCAGTTTCAACCGGACCTCCTCACTGTCCTGCTCGTCCGACTCCGACTCCGAGTCGGCGCGGCGCCTGCGGAAGGTCTTGCCGGCCCGCATGGTGCCCACCCGCGCCCGGAATCGCCTCAGGGACCGCAGCGGAGACGTTACCGACGCCGATTACCGGCCTGGGCGTCAGGCCCCGGCAGCGGCTCCTGGCTAGTTCCGGCGCAGGAGAGTGACGTCAGAGGCGCTTGCGGCGGCCCGCCCCCGGCGTGCGCTCCCAGAGGGCCTCGCGTTCGGGGGGGGTCCGCCCCCCCTCCCCGGCCAAGCGCCCCCCACCCCCATCCCGGGAAGGGGCGGGAGCGAAGGGAGGCGGCGCGCGCGCGTGCACGCGGGCGCCCAGCCCGTGCAGGCGAGTGTGGGCGTAGGATCCCCTCTGCGGACGCGCCCGCGCGGCGCCAGCCTTCGGACTGTCCTAACTCTTACATCTGTCTTCTCCCTCCATTACTCGGCTGAAACTGCTTTCTCCAAGGCTACCGAGTGTCTCTCGATCGCTAAATCCCAATGTCCGTCTTCATCTTTCTAGTCCGCTCAGCAGCTTTTGAGACAGCCGCCTACGCCCTCCTGCATACTCTCTTCTCCTTGGTAGCGCTTATTGCTTCTTAGGCCCTTTTGTTTTATTTTTTTATTTTTATTTGTTTTATTTATTAACATCTCTCCTCTATGAATGGGTGTACCTCAGGCGTCCCTCGCAGCACTCCCATCCCCTTTCTACACTTTCTTTTGGGAGATCTCATTAACTACCATGGGATCCAAGGTCACCTCTAACCCTCCCGATCCTTGGGATCTGCATTTGAATGCCTCGGAGGCATCCCACGCCCAAGTCAACAAGTCCAAAGCAGAGCTCATTTTCCATTCCTTTAAAGCCCACCTTTCTTCCTAACTTCCCATTTTTGTTGAGTGCACCAACATCCTTCTAGGTGTGAAACCTCTGAGTCATTCTTAGCGCTTTCCTCCACCTTGTGCCTCATATCCATTCAATTACTCGGTTTTGTGGATTCTGTCTCCACGATATTGCTTGTGTCCACGTCTTTCTCTCTCCACTAACATGACCATTACCCTAATTCAGGCCCTCCTTCCCTGTTAAGTGGAATATCGCTGCAGTTATCTAATGAGTTTCCCTGTTTCCAGCCTCTCTCATCTTGGATCCACCCTCCACACAGTTGCTAAGTTAATATCTCAGAGGCACAGGTTCTTTT